CTTGTGCTGCCCAAACACGTCTCACTGGTCCGGGCGTTGACTCGATTTGATGTCAGTGGCTAATTCCATCAGATAAATGCTCACTTTTTAGGATCTAAGGAATTTAAATTAACTTAAATGATTATTCAGGAGTTATTGAAATCCCTGCCCATTTTCTTCCTAAAAACCTTTGAACTTCCGAAAACTGAATGCACAGTTGCTGATATGCTTTTGCAGATACTTATGCAGACAGCTGTGAATAGACAGCTGTCCATATGGAAGATTCAAGCGTGGTTGCTGTGTTGTAGTGTAGTGTGGGTGATGTCAACACTGACTTAAACACACCGTGCATACTTGCAGACATGTGCACTTTACCTTTGGTCTAATATAGCCTGGACAGGTTCTTCACTTCATGTACCTGTGGCTCAATATTGAGGCCAATGTAGATTAGTTAGAAGTGTTTGGCTGGCTTTGGTGCTAGAGGAAAGTTCAGGGGCCTGTAAATCCTACAATCCTACAGGACGATAATATTCCACAGTACTGTCAGCTTGTTGTCAGCAGCTGTCTTATCTAGGAGTGACCAAAGTATTTAATGGACCCTCAGACATCTATATCCTCTGAGTTTACTTGAGGATGAAAAATCATTCTTCTGAAATAGTAAATCTGTGTAACACCTGACATCTTCCACATGCTTTGTATAGCCTTGCAGCTCTTACTGTTACAGAGCCATTCAACTCTCCTGCTTTTACTTGTGGTACAGAAATGATCTATGCAAAACAATTCAAAGCATGAACAGAGTGTGATTATTAATATTCTATATCTGATGGGTCCACAAGGGGGGAAAAAAACATGAGAACAAAAGTTCAAAGGTCATACAGAGATGAACCTATAAACAGATAAAGTAGAGGAGTTGTAAAGTACATGTGCAAAGGAAAGCAGATAAGAGCTGCTACCGTGAGGAAGAGCAGACGAGGAAAGGCGCTGAGAGAGGAACAAGGCATTATGGGGTAGAGATAGTGACCTTAGTATGTTACACATGCAGTGCAAAGCAGAGCCAGAAGTACACCCATACTACATGTTTTCTGTCTGTGAATCCACTTTCTACTCCATCCCTCTCTCCTGCACACACACAGGGTCACACTCTCTGTGCTGTGGTTGATAACTCTTATCAGCAGTGGCCACAAAGCACACCAGCAGAACAATACCTTCTGATTTATAGACCTTTTCTATTTAACGCACTTTCACTCCACACTCATTCACATCTGAACATGAACGTGCTTGTAAGTGTCGGGGAAACATTTATGTGGTGTTTGTTTTGCTCAAGTGTAACCATATGGAGTTAGAGACACACTTTTAAGTGTGGAGTTTGACAAAAGACACACTTCTCTTTGCTTTGTGGCTGCAGCTCCGGGGCTGAACTCTGACCTTATGATGTAACAACTTGGCCTATTTTTCCAAGCTGGAAGGGAGATAAAGGGAGTGAACTTCCAGTTTATTATATTGCAAAAAAAAAAACAAAAGACACTGAACTTTGTTTTAAATCTCCTCATACTTATAGGATCCATATATTATTATGCTTTAATGTCAAGCGAATTTTATATACTGTGCAAAAAGCTAAAAAGCTGTTCACAAGAGCAGGATCTGAATCATTTAAATGCTTATGTTTGCCCCTGCTCAGTGACATTGTATTATTGTATGATGATTCAGATGATGAATTCTCACACACTGTTTTTTTTTTGTGTCTTCCAGGAAGTGGCTTTGGTAAAAAATGCAAAGAGCTGAGCACAGAGAGAGATTTCTTCATGAGGATGAAATGCACGGTGACCAACAGAGGACGCACCGTCAACCTCAAGTCAGCCAGTTGGAAGGTAACAACTGCTACATCTACAAAGCATCACACCTGCAGCAACTGCACACACAAAATGAGATTATTACATTGTGAATAGATTTAGCCACATATTGGACACAAGTAGGGTTTAGATTTTAGAACAGGGTTGGGGGAACTCCAGGCCTCAAGGGCTGGTGTCCTGCAGGTTTTAGATGTGTTCTTGATCCAACACAGCTGATTTAAATGGCTAAATGACCTCCTCAACATGTCTTGAAGTTCTCCAGAGGCCTGGTAATGAACTAATCATTTGATTCAGGTGTTGACCCAGTGTGAGATCTAAAACCTGCAGGACACCGGCCCTTGAGGCCTGGAGTTCCATCATCCAGAGCAATTCATGATGCTGGTAGGAGTCTAGAAGCCCATATTAAAAGTTTAATGTTATATCCTTAAATAGCAATCTTGTGCAGCAACACAAGTAGTGTAACAAATAGTGTAGAGAAATGCTTTCTCTGGGTTGTATAGCAGTAATGCAAAGCATTATTTTCAAAGGTAAGAAGTACTTTACCGTTTTTTGAAGAAACTATCGCAGCCCTGGCCATTAATATCGACTAATGTGGGGCCAAAAAAGACATGGCCACTACAATAGGTGTCTGCGTCATGGTAAATATGAACACTCAGATAGGGAAAACTGTAATAATCGTGCTATGGCTGCATGTTATTCACCACAGGGGTAACTCTGACACTGTGTAAACTCCATTTACACTCCTGCTGCTCTTCCTCAGGTGCTTCACTGCACTGGACAACTGAGGATGTACAACAGCTGCCCTCCACGAGTGCTGTGCGGCTTCAAAGAGCCTCCGCTCACATGCGCTGTCCTGATGTGCGAACCGATACCACACCCGTCCAACATCGACACGCCGCTGGACAGCAAGACCTTCCTGAGCAGACACAGCATGGACATGAAATTCACCTACTGTGACGAGAGGTAGGCAGAAACATATTTTTTAGATTTTGTATTAAATGATAAAAATATATTCACCGAAGCATATATTATGCACCTATCTTTGGTTTGAACCTCAGCAGAGTTCAGTAGAGCAGCAGATTCACATTGCTACCAATTAAAACACAACCCTTAAAGTCTGACACACACACAGAAGACTTGAGCGATTGCAGTGTGTTGACTTAGCAGGTAAGAAAATAGAAGTTGGTGATGAAACATAAATTAATAAGGCGCTGTCATGACGTTGTCAGAGCGTGCCAAGTGTTAATGACCCTGGATTAGATCGTGAACAAGCCTAAAGCTGAAACATTTTTAAAGCTGCCAAACAAAATGACATCTGACATTGTGTCAGTTATCATTCGTCACTTGTAGGTTAGCATGAAAAGCGGCTATCTTAAACCCAAAGAACCTCATAGTTTGCGCCCAGATATTTCTTTCCCACTGGCACGAGAAGGGAACACAACGCATTTTCAGATTGGTGTTACACAATCGCATGCACGCAAATCTGTAATCTTATCAAGCCTCTCATGCAAGAGAAATGTTCCTTTTGTGTATTGCATGCACAGGTCTGTGCGTGACCGCACTACAAACAAGAGCCCATTTTCTTTTTCACCCTTTTTAGTGCAATTTAATAGCCGCCTAAATCTTCTCTCCAATTACGCAAATGAGTTTATTGTAGGTGGGTCGACCCTCCTGGCTCAGCAGAGACTTACACTCATTAGAGGAGGGACGGAAAGTTTCTTCAGCTCATGCCTGGCAGTGTGAGAGATGGAGGAAACAAAGAAGGAGAGAGAGGGGGAAAGAACAGAGACTTATCACTTAGGAATAATTAGTTCTTCAAGAGGGGTAACAATCAGAAGTTTAACCTTCTAGTTGCTTAAACTCTGCTTGACCTAAGAAGAACAATTATTTCCTCCCCTCAATATCCCTGTTGATTCTTTATAATTTACTAAGTACAGTAAGAAAGTCCATTTTATGATTAAATACCAGCTTTATAAATGACGTATGGCTATTGGCTATATTCTCAATTCTACAGTATAAGCAATACAAACACAAAAGGACACAAACGGAAGTTCTAAAGTTATATAACTTGGATAATTTAGACGTGGACAACACTTCTGTGTGTACTATGTTACTTTTAAGTGTCAATCAGAAACGTCATGCAAGTAATCACTACTTATTACAGTGCATGTTGTAGATTTATCAGTAATGCAGGGACATTGACCCAAATATTACACTAAATTAGATACAATTTGTGTAGCGTTGATTCCTGCATTAATTAATTTTAGAGTTTTAATTCAAACATTTGTATAAAATCATTTGTATGCAGACGATAGCCCGCAGAGTAATGTGCTCCTCTGCTTTGGTCTTCCTGTCATTTGTTACTTTTATATCTGTAATAATGTAAAGTACACCGTGATACAAAATAACATAAAAATAACAGTGAAACGCTTGTACTTAACATGGAGGAAATGAATGGAAGGAAAGAAAAGAAAGCAATCACCATCGTAATCATTATTGTTATAATTTGAAGCTATTTTAGTTGTGACCATGTTTTATTAATGCTTTTGTTTCGTCTCTTTCCCCACTCTGACTCTCCTCTCTGGCCTTAATGCATTTTTTCCTTTTTTCATGTGTGTCTTTTTTTTTAAACCCATTGTGCCTATGTACTCTTCTTCCCTCCAGACATTCATCCCCTCCCTTTCCTCCCTTCCCTCCCTTTCCTCACTACATCTGTCAGCGTTATGCAATCTGAGGGTCTGCATCACCAGACCTCTCACTCTGTCCCTCACACAATAAATCCACCGCATCATCATCATCATCATCATCCGCTGACTGTTCATCTCAATGAAACTTTGGCTTCACACCTCCAAAGCTATCCAAAGGGCAATATAGATTATGAAAACTGTATTTTAACTGATTTGACATCAAAAAATGTTGAGTGTGATGATCAGAGGTACAAATAGGATGAAACGGAGTGAAAGAGTACATTTATACCTACTGGAAATTTGAAACTTTTTTTTATGCTGCGGTGTATCCTATCCCTAAACTCTGGAGTCCATCCTCATGCCAGAGTGAAAACATTTTGGTGGCAGTTGGAGTAAAATCACATTCCTAGCACTTTAATTTGGGTTAAGTACAACTTATCTTCATTCTCGGTCCCAGTTTACCCTCCCCGGTCTCCTTATCCTGATAAAACCTTGTTTTCAGGGGCCCATTTCCTGTTGTAGGTTTGGATCATGTTCTCACAGCACAGTTTGTTTGGAAGAGGCTCTGCTTTTGACCCTTAGCCTAATTGTTGGCTTCTCAGTGAAGTCAAAATTACACTTATTTATATAAGTTATTAATTTGAGTTTATTTGCTGTCAAAACAGCCTGAAGCTAAGTATGTAATTATTTTCAGCACTCAAAAACTTCATTTAAATTAGTGCACCTGTAATCAGATTACAGTAATCCTGTTATTTATTCTCAAAACCTCTACTTACTGGCGAAAGAGTTGGAGAGAAATAAAAGGGAGTTTTATAAACGTGGTTATTGAAAGCCAGCAACAAAATCCTGATTAACAACGTGAACTTGTGATGAGAGACGAGAGATTAGCTGTTCCCAGAAGCACCGGGAGGTTGGAGACAGAACGAGCAATTCTTATTTTTGGAAATCTATCCACTGCTCAGTTTGATTTCCAAATGGTACATGATGTCTTTTTAAGTTCAGGATGAAGTGCAGGATTTGTGTTTTGAGTCGTACATGTGAGAAAAGTTCAAATAATAAGTAAAAGCCCGTGTCTTATTAGATGTCTGTGTCTGTGTTCCAGGGTAACAGAGTTGATGGGTTACACTCCCGAGGATCTGCTGGGTCGTTCCATCTACGACTTCTACCACGCCTTGGACTCAGACAGTGTCACCAAGAGTCATCAAAACTGTAAGTACATGCTCGGACCTTAAAAAAGACTTTGAACGCCTCAAACATCAAATATGAAGCAAAACAAGCCACGGTGATTCAGCTATGAACGCAATCCGCACGTGTAGTTAGCCTTTAGCTAAGATCTAAGCCTGCGTTTCCTCAGATTTTGCTCGTAGCAGTAAGCGATTGGTTCAAAAACCTGATGAAATATGGAGCAACTCTTAAACAATAATTAGAGCCTTTCTGCATGGTTGCCAGTATTGGCAGCCATCTTGAAATGGCACATTCGAGGCACTTAATAATAATAATAATGGATTGGATTTATATAGTGCTTTTCAAGGCACCCAAAGCGCTTTACAATGCCACTACACTATACTATAAAGTGTCTTGCCCAAGGACACAACGACCAGGACAGAGAGCCCGGGGATCGAACCGGCGACCTTCCGGTTACAGATGCACTTCCCAACCCCCTGAGCCACGGTCACCCAAACTTACTTTGAAGGATTCCCTAAATGAACTCTAATTTTAGTGATCAGGATGTAAAAAATGCATAATCACTAGCCAGATCAGCTAAACGCTTCAAGCTTGTAGTCAGCTGGTAATACAGCCTAAAGTTTGAGTGAAGATATTGGGGGTTTTTCTTGTCAGACATTTTTGTTTCATTAAATTTTATTTTTATTTTCTTTATTTATTTATGTTTTAGGTAGACAAATACATTTATCCTTGTTTAGACATATGTGGATGTCTGTGTGTATGTAAAGAGCAGCAGCATGGTATTAAGATGTCTGTTATTAAATTAGGTGCATCCACTGATGGCCTGATGAGGTTTGCACATCTGATGCCACAAACACAGTGGACAGGGGACCAGGTGGCCTCTATTACAATCTAATAAGTGCGTGCGTGTGTGTGTGTGTGTGTGTGTGTGTGTGTGTGAATGTATGTGAGTGTGTGTGTGTGTGTGTGTGTGTGTGTGTGTGTGTGTGTGCGCGTGTGTGTGCGTGTGCATGTGGACAAGGCTCTGAAGTGTCATGGCTATTCTCTTCACTGACAGTACTGTATCATTAGAGGCTTTGACAGTGCACGAGGGAAAGTGGTAATTTAGTTCCTTAAAACCACCCCTGCAACATAATGGCTGTGTGTGTGTGTGTGTACACAGCAAAAAATGCTCTTGTTACAAAGAGGATTATGCTTTTCTTTTTCTTTTTTTTTCCCTCCTGGCATATCTGGGCCAACACTAATCCTGATATTTTCTTTGAAAAGTAAAACTGTACTTTCCAAAAAGTTGATTCGCTACATCCAGATGACCAGAATCAACTTTCCTTACTTGGATGATTGAGTATGCATCAAGACACAAAACTGTACCTAATTTGATATTTTATTTTTCACAGAAAATAATATTTTCATCCAAAACTTTCATCATTTAAAAAGATGTCAAGCAGAAACTTAAAGAAGCAGTACAACCCAAATACTTTCCCCCTGTAGCCTGTAGTGGTGTGTTTCAGTCTAGATTGTAATGGTGTGAGTTTCAGAGCTGTACAAGTCTTTGCTGCCTGTTTCATTAAACTAAAAGCACTCTCCCTGTCTTACCATGAAGTAAAAAATAAAACAAACCAACAACTTTTTCCACACTCAATTAGTCCAAAATCATAAAGACAAATTGTGGTTTTACAATTTTCCCCATTCACTAGTCAGATAAAACATGCCGCTAGCTAACATTACCCTCAATAGAGACTGGATGACATTAATGCATACAGCCAAGCACGAGCCTCTCATCACAGTTGGGTCTTTCTCCACAATCATGCAGTTTATGGGTGTAGTTTAACTGAATGAAAATAGTTTATGGGGGAAACTGCTTACAATTAAAGATCGATTTATTTTGTGCAATTTTAAATGCAAATTTTTAAATTCTGTTTTTGATACTTCAATAACCATAAGAAGTATAGAATATGACTGTCATATTTTAGTATTGAAGAGAACATGGACAATATTTCCGAAAATGGTAATTCACACTGAAACGGTCTGGATGGATTAAAAAAACACCGCAGGCCCAAAGTAATAATATCTAAAAGCATCTGGGGTAATAAGTGCATTCTTTTTAAATAAATAAAAAAAACAAAGTAACTCACATTCACAAAAGTCAAATTATTATGACTTTTTAAATCAAAGACTTACTTTGAAAGGTTGGCTCAAAAAACAAAAAAACAATAGGCTTAAAAAACAGATCCATTGTGCTTGAAACAGAAATATTTCAGCACATATTGGGATTGTTTGATACCAAGTTGTCTTTTGAAGTTTTGCACTTCCAAAGTTGACCTTTTAGACATGTTCTTTTGGTCTCGCTGCACTTTAATTTTGCATGTCAACAAAAACCAAAAAAGTGACTTGAAAGAGGATTGTAGTCCTCGGGTTTTTGTTTAGTGTGCTGCATGTGAATTTTTTTTCTTTTAGCCATGTTCTCTTTCCACTGATCTTAAGTCATCTGCATCCGCAGCCCTTAGCTGTCTGACATTTGCCAAGATAAAGGACTCTCTATCCATCTGAACGTCTCACAAACACAGACGAGCCGCTCTCACGGCCAACGTGACCAGCCTGTCGATCAGCACATGCTAACAGTGTTCTCTGCTACATGCAGTGTTGTCCCCTCCAAGCTTTCTCAACAGTCTTGCGTGCGCGCGCGCACACACACACACACACACACACACACAC